CGGCCCACTGGGAGGCCGCTCTGCAGCTGAATCCGCTGCACCCGGAGGCATGGTTCTCTGCCGGCTTCTGTTACCTGAAGCTGAACAAGCACCGCCAGGCGCTGAGGGTAGGGGGGTGGGGTGGTAGGAAGGGGGGTGAGGCGGGTGAGTGTGAGGTGGCGGGGTGTGAGGTGGTTGGGTGTGAGGGTAATGATGGTGTGTGTGTGTGGCGGTGCGTTACGGGCGTGTGTGTATGTGTGTATGGTACGTGTGAGAGTTTGGAGGCAGGCCATGGCGCCGGGTAATGTGCTCCCGCTCCCCCTCCCCCCCCCCTCATCTCCCCCTCCCCCCCTTCAATCGTGTGTGGTTCGTCTTTCCCCCCCTTCCCCCCCTCTTCCCCTTTCACCTAGTTTCTTCTTTTTCCTCAGCCAGCCAGTTAAAACTTCGTTTAGAAGCACGCGCATGTATTCTGGTTCTTTATTGCACCCTGCTCACTACCTTGCTACCCTTCTGCTTCGCATGTGCCCTTGCCGCTACTTCTGCTGCCTGGCCAGGTGAGTCCGAAGGAGGTTCGAGCTTTGTCGGTATATCGCGTTGCGTTGGTCGGCTAGCCGGACTAGGATAGTCGGGTCGGTCGGGTCGGTTGCGCGTTTTGGGGGCTTGGGAGGAGCACTTGCATATCACCAGCTTTTTATTACCACCTAATCAGCCAGTTCTTCGCCAAACCTCGTCAATGCCGCCGCCAGGCCGGCGGCAAACGTTTTTCCAGCTTCACGTCAGCAGTTCCTTACTACTTTTCCGCCGCCTCTACACCTACTTTTTACGGCTTGGCTTTACTGCTTTCCTTCCGCGCTTATTTAGTCTTGGCAGCTAGGTATGTAGTTTTCCAACATCATCTTCGCTACGTCATCCCTAGGGCGCCGCCTTCAAGAACACCTCTTGTTCAGTTCTACTCTTGGTACACTCTTGCCCTGGCAGCAGCTTCACTCGTTCGTGGTTCGTCTTTCCCCCCTTGCCTCCCCCGCTCCCTCCCGCCCACCATACACGCACACGCCCCTCCCCCTCAGGCCTTCACCCGGGTGACACAGCAGGAGCCGGACAACGGGGAGGCATGGAACAACATCGCGGCGCTGTGGATGCACGTCGGAGGCTACAAGTGAGCTGGGCCCTGCAGGAACCTAAGAACCTATTTTCATATCCTAAGCGCACGCACGCGCGTGTGTGTGTGTATGTGTCGCCCCCCGTTATCTAATTGTACGAAACCCACCCACACAGCCCCTCGGGGGGCCGCTAACGGTGTTCTCACCCCTTCCCGTCCACCTGCCAAACCCTTTTCCCCAGCCCCACAAAACTCACACAAATACACAACCCCCTCACCCCCCTCACCCGTGTCGTCCGCAGACCGGCGTTCGCCGCTCTGTCGGAGTCTGTACGACACAAACGTGACTCCTGGCAGACCTGGGAGAACTACGCGAGAGCTGCCCTGGCCTCGGGACACTACCAACAGGCCGTACGGGGCCTGCAAACGGTACGACAAAGGGAGGGAGGCGGAAGGGAAAGTGTGTGTTGCAGGTGGTGGGGGGGATAGAGGTGGTAGTGCAGCTGCTTTGGCGGCTCGCGGTGTGGCGGCGGCGGCGGCCGGTGTGTGTGTCTCTTTGATGAAGACCTCTAGTTTCCATTTAGGCGATGGTGCCCTTCGTTACGTTTGGTGGTGGCAGGTGGGGATGGGGGGATGGCGGTAGGGTTGCTAGGGTGACGGGGGGTTGGTATGCCTGAGCATGCTCGCTGCCGTACTGAGGATCTACCCTACCGGAGGGGTCTGGGGGGTTGCGGCACCTTGAAGAGCTGAGAAATAGGTTATCTGAGCTGCGTGCTCAATATCCTTTGCTTTTGTAAAACTCCCAATGCAGCTTAGCTGGGTGTTAAAATTTACGTCATTAGTCCGGGTATCAGTTTCATTGATTTGGTGTTCACACTCATCGCTTATACCTCGCTCACTCACTCATTCGCGCATTCACTCACTCGATTTGGGTTTGCACGTCGTACTCCCCCCGCCCTTCACTGCAAAAATGTGTCTGTGTGTTTTACCCCTTCTGGAGTTGCGTTACTCTCCCAGTGTGTTTTACCCGGGGCTCCGTACATGGAGCCCTGAGGGGGGCCTAGGGCTGTCAAAAATCGGAAACATAAAATCCGCATGGGGAAGGAAGGTCCTGTTATCCAAGGAGCACATTTGTTCACCTTTCGTTTCACCGCCCACCCCTTTCTTTGACCGCCCCTCAGGCGCTCAAGCTCAGTTCGGGTCATCGTTTGTTTGTCGACGTGGCGTCCGGACTCCTGGACGTGCTGGAGGGGAGACCGCCGCCGCGGGACGGGGGCACGTCGATGGCGGCGGCGGCGGCGGCGGCGGCGGAGGGGCTGCGAGGCGTGGCGGCGGAAGCGGGGGTGGGGGTAGAGGAGGCGGCGCAGACCGACTCGTCGCTACAAGCAAGTAATCGCTGTCCATTTGTGCGGGCAGCTCATGTATGTGTGTATGTATGTATGTATGTATTTGTGCTCCAGCTCATGTAAGTGTGGGGGGGGAAGGGGCCCCGCGTGAATCGGCCACTGTGCGGACCCGTACTTGCCGTACTACTACCGTCGCACGCATTGACTTATTCGTTGGTTCGTTGATTAGTTCGTTAGTTGATGACTTATTATCCCCCCGCCATTGCACAGGAGGACGAGGCGGCGTTGGGAGTTCCCTTGCTGCCCCTTCTGGCCGACATACCCCTCAACCACCCGGACCAGCAGCTGCAAGCGGGAAAAGGGGGGGGAGGGGAGGCGGAGGCAGAGGCGGCGGTGGCGGCGGCGAATCCGACGGCCGCCCCCCGCACCACCACCACCAGCAGCAGTAATCCCCCCGCTGCGGATGTGTTGCTCTCGGGTCGCGAGCGGGAGGTGGTGGTGGGGGGCCTGGGGGCTCTGCTCCGCGAGGCGGTGAACAGCCCGGCGGCCAGCGCGGCGCTGTGGGGGTGCTTGGCCCGGTACTGGGCGCTGCGGGGGGAGGTGGACAGCGCTAAGGAGGCGCGGATTAAGCAGGTAGGGGTGTGTGTTGGGGGGGGGGCCGGGGGGCTGCTCAAACATGAACTCGAACTCGAGCAGGGTAATGTCTGTATGTACGTACGTGCGTATGTTGTTACAGGGTGGTTAACTTCGCCAGCGGCCCCCTTTCCCGGGGCAGTCCCTGCTCTCCCCTGCTAGAGGGGCACCCTAATCCGTCACCCCATCCGACTTCAGAATGTATTCGTTGGGTTCGGCAACTCACCACCAGCATCCAACCAAATCTAGCGGATCAACGGCGCATCAACTTAGTTCCTGGTCAGCTCGCAAGTTGATATTATCACGTCCTACACCGTCCATTTGATGGGGGGCCACCTCCCATTTCATCACTCCTCAAACACCCGAGGAGCTGGCAGGCGGATTTGAACCCGGGTCGGCTGGATCGACTGGGAGCAGAAGTCAGGCCTTAACCTCTGCCAGCCGCCTGCGTATGTATGCATCCGCACCCTTCCCCACGTGTGATGCCTCGCCCCGTCCATATATACGTGTATACACATACACACACACGACACCCCCACATCGCCCAGGTCCGCGGCCTAGCCAGTGGCGCCTACAAGTCGGATGCTGCCCGCTTCACAGAGTACGGCGAGGCCTCCGATGCCTTATGTCGCTGTTACCTGGACTGCTACAAGCACGGAAAACCCGGTGTGTGTGTGTGTGTGCGGGGGCCGGGGGGGAATGGTAGAGAAGGGGAAGGGGACGGATCGGTCGAGGTTCTGCTTTGCAGCTGCCTAGGAGCTGGGCTAGCTCCCTCACCAGCTCGCGTCACCCCCCCTCCCCCTCTTCCCCCTCGCCCCCTAGGTGCCCTAGGTACTCCAGGGGCCACCGTAGGGGTGTGCCGGTTTGTGATGTTCATCCGTCGTCTTCCCCGTGTTGCCCATGACGACGCCCCTCCTTCCCCCTTTTCTCCTGGTACCTGCTCCATTCGCCAGTGGTTTGTCTTAACGCCCTTCTTCTCGTCAATCGTCTGTGCTTCGTCGTGCCCCCCCACCCCATCTTCCCCTTTCTCCCCCACCCCATCCCTTTCGGCTTCGGACGTGTCGGCAGTTGTTCTCGATGACTGTTGCAAGTGGGTTCCGCTCCCTACCCCCGCTCTGTGCCGTACCGCCGTATTCCCTCCCTGGACAGGGGGCCTTAAGGATCTGGCGGCGGGCCGCATGCACCTGAGGGGGTTGCTCAGGGCGACGGCGGAGAACTTCGGCGACCACCCCATCACGGCAAAGCTTCAGGTGCGTGCGGGTGGGGGGAGGTGGGGTGGGTGTGGGGGTCCGCTGGAATGAGGGCTGTGGGGGAAGGGGGCGTGGAGGGGGGGGGGAAGGGCAGGAAAAGGCAAACACAGCGAGATGTTTTCACACGCTCCTCAAACGCTCAACTAGACGGCTTTCTGGCTGCGCCGCGCAGGCGTTGCTAGACGAGATCACGCAATTGGAGGACGAGGCCGTGGCCACTAGCAGAGCAGCAGCGACGGCCAGGAGCTGATTGAGCTTGAAAGTGCTTTTTATAACTGCAAAAAAATGGTTGGCTGTAGCAGCAGGTCAGGGGTGCATGCGGAGAACGTAATCCATAGGCGCACGATGCCGCGTTTTTCCGTACAAGTACGGTTTGACCGACGGTCACGAGGTGTTTCTTTTATTGTATCCTGGGGTTTTGACTATTGCCATGACATAGTTAAGGAAAAGGCACCTTCTGTGGACCATCATATTCACGGACGATTAAGATATTTGGCAGAGCGTAACTTGTAAGAAACGAGACCGGAGCGCTGCGCCTCATTTCAACTGCATTTTCCTAAGGATCTATTTTTCCTTGGCAGTGAATCAAAATGGCAACGGACGCTGCTCCACCTGCGCGCCAGCCTAACCGGTATGAACACATCCCTTATGGGAACGATTCAAGGCAGAAGTACTGCTCCTTCGCTGCGCCGCAGCTTATTATTGCCTTTTAGATGTTGATGCATCACAACTGGTGTAGAGTGTTGCGAGGCGGGCTCAGATCTTTTCGATGTCGGCAAAAACGCAGGGTCCAGGTTAGCACCAATAAAAAGCCACTGCAGTTCTATCTCAACCTTAGTCGTCGGATCATGGCGGAGCACGGGGAGGTGGAGTTGTCGGCTCTTGGGTTGGGTAAGGCAGGCATACGGGAGCATGCCGAGCGCGTTCGCAGTGCTGACGCTGGCTGAGTATGCCATGCAGCCGTCTCGAACATGGTCACTGTGGCCGAAATTCTCAAGAAGGAAGGCTGGGCTGTAGAAAAGAGTAAGTACAGGCCTTGAAAGCGGGAGTGACGCTGATGTGCGCCAGAGCACAGTCACAGGCGCCGAATTTTACGGCAACAAGGTGCACTTACCAATGGTCCGTCCAAATTACCACACATACAAGGCGCCTTCCATGAGGCTTTAGCACTCTCGTGCAACCGGCCGACAGTGCCGTTTTGTATCCTTTTGCTGCGTTTTCTCAATCGTTACACTCTTGCTTATTACCGTTGCCATCGCCTCTTGAGCGAAACTCGATACGGAGCGACACTAGGATAGACGAACCCCCGGGGTAGCGCTGCTGGCGGGCGTCGGCCCGTACCGAGCGGAATGCCGATTTCGGCAGGCTATGCCTCTAGCAAGATTGCCTGTTGCCTGCGAATTTCTAACGGCAGCGAATCAGCAAACCCATTTGCAATTTCTCGCAGGAGATTTCCACTGTCTATTCCCTTTTTCCTTACCCCAACGTGATCTGATCCACCTGACGCTCTCTTTACCTCACAGGCCTTCGCACGGGCTTGGAGACGCTGGAGGGCGAGCAGCGCAGCGTTAGCAAACCCAAGATGGAGGTGGTGTTGACCAAGTCACCAGGTGTGGTACCTTATGGGCGGTATGGGTTCTCTCAGCCCACCCGCCGACCACTCCCGCTGCGGTAGCAGGTTGCTCTGATGCTGCTGTTGTCTTTATTGCTGCTAGGAAGGGGAGATCTGGGTGGGGGCTCCGATCAGATAAGCCGGAGGCGGGAGGGTGGGGACCATGTACACAGAACCGGGGACGAAGCTGAGGCCGTTTTCTGGTCGCAGCTTATTCATATAAGGAAAGGTGCAATGCTGACTTCAAGATGGGATACCCTAAGAACTGGGTCCTTCACCTTGCATGTCCTTGAAGGGCCGATGGGAGTGTGTGTCGGCTCCTGGGAGGCAGTCAGCCTGGATAGTCAGGAGGTGTTGGGCCATGCCTCCGCACGGGTTACGCGGGGCTTTCAGCACTGGCAAACGCTCGTCGCAGGCTTGACGGATACTTGTCAGTCGTCACATAAAGTACTCTGCCGTATTTGTCTGCACACTGCCTGTGGTAGTCTCGGCGCGTGTTACCGCCGGGTCTCAACCTTCTTACCTACCCACCCCTCTTCGTGACCTACAGACTTCGACCGGCTGTTCGCGGAGCACCCGCCGCCTCCTCGGGGGCAAAGGCAGGGCCCCCCCGCCGAGGCTGCGGCGGCGTAAGCCTATGCGGGTGGTAGCACCCTAGGCCAGATGGTAGATTTCCTGAGCGATCAGCGAGGGGATGTTTTACTGTCCGAACGAAATTCCAATGTGGGTCGGGGTTTCACACTCTCAGTTTTGAGACCGAATGGTCCCCACTCATTCGGTCTGCGGGCAGCAGGTTACCCTAGAGGATATAGTATTCGCGGAGGGCATTTCGCAGCGGCCTGCGGTAACGGAAGCAGGCGGTAGGAGGGTGGGTATGTCTGGGGTGCGCGACCGTAGGGTGATGCAACAGGGAGGGCGGGGACCTGCATGCAAATGGAAGAGAGAGGTAGGGCTCCACGTTGGCGAGAGGTAATCGGCGTAGGAGGAGAAGAGCAGAGGCATCCGGAAGAGGGGCGCGTGCACTTGTCAAGAACCAACAGAAGAACAAGTAGGTTGGTGCTGCTGCATTTGGTGCATATGCCGTCCATGCGTGGAGGGCACGCGGGAGGTGAAGGAGGAGGAGGCTCTGGGGGCGTTGCGTGCGGGCCGAGGTGTTGCTGCTGCTTGTGTAGTGGAATGAATTGGTCAAGAGAGAGGTGATGCCGGACCCCGTGACCTTCCCCCCAAACTTGGAAGGCGAGCGCTGAGCGGCGGAATGATAGGAGCCGTATGAATGACGGTTACAAGCTGGCAGATTATCAACACAGTCTCACAGCAGCAAGCCAGTCTCACAGCTCGCTATTGAATCGACAAACAGTTCTCTAGGCAAGAAGGTACACCAGCATAATGTCATGAACACTTCTACATCAAGTCAATCACCAACTGTCGCCTGACGCAGCCACTGGCGCCTCACGGTATGCGCGCAGTAATACGTTCGTCATTCCGTCCGTTGATGCACGGCAACAAGTATTCGCCAGCAGCGGATGGGTGTGGTTGGGAAGATGCTCGCCAGCGGTGTGAAAACTACAACTGAAGCAACTGTACTGGCACCTGCTGTAAGGATCCTCAGTATACAGCCAATACACATCTTGGCTCTGCACAGCAAGGCCCTGCTGTCGGCCAACTACTCTTCAGCTGCTAAGTACCTTCTCACCCCCACAGCCTATGCGTCAACTCGCTTCCTTCCATATGCAGTCAGTCAACCCACTGTCAGTCAACTCCCTAATATTGGATGCTCCTATCCCGCCCGAATTATCCCGCCCCAGGGCAAAATTCGGGGGCGCGGCCAGCCATTCCCCGGCCATCATCAACCTTACCATGCACCCGTCATGTCACGTGTACACCCGAAACCGGTTCACCGTTCCATACTCCTCCACCCTTGGTAGTGAGAAGACGAAGAAGACCTCTATCCCGCCTTCAATAGATGGACACGTCCAGGTAGTCCCCCGTCTGGAAATTGAGCTGCCGTAACGTCTTGGCGTCGTCCTCCCCGGGCCGAGTGGAGTGTACGACACCCACCTGCGACCAAGCCAAGCGCGACCGGGGCCGGGTTGGAACAGGTTGCCGTCATGTCAGAACCGCAGGGGGATGTAAGAGCTGACCCAGGACAGGGCAGAGGGCAGTACACAAAGAGGCCCCCAACGTATTGACCTCAAACATCACATGTCAATGAAGATGTCGTAAACAAAGACACCTTTTAACAGGCAGGAAGCTTTGTGCTGATGGACCAGTATGATCCGGAGGTGGAAGCGGGCAATCAGGGGGCCAACGCACCGTCAAGACCGTATGCTCCCCCTCACCATCCATCCGTGGCCTTCCCTTTGGATACAAGCACCCAAAGACCCGCGCTTCGTTTAGTTAAGTACCCTTCTCTTGCATAGCGTACAGCCCCAGAGATGCACGCGCATTTGCAGCGCGTGCAGCACGCATGCACGTCCATCTCTCAAGAATAACACGTCGGTCCAGATGGCACCACAATCGGCGATCGCCAACTCGCTGGTACAGCACGGCAAACAGCGTGCTCTGCGCAGCTGGCTAGTGGGTGGAAGGGAAGAACGCGGTGGACGCTGCGCAGTAGCCGCAAAATTGACCCTGATAGCAGCGTTTCAAAGACAGCAGCTAGTACGGACGAGCGTTTGCAACTGCACCTGGCGCATGACGTTGCGGCCACGGCGATCGGGGTAAACGAAAGCGAAGGAGATGCGGGCGTTGCGATTACGCGCAGCGGGTTGTACGTCTTTAACGAGGTCCGACAGCTCCCGCAAGTCCGCGTCCATCCAGGTATAGATTGCAATCTCTTCAGGCAAGCTGTTGCGGTCTGCAAACTCCTCAAGCTTGTGGTGCCCGCCCTGGCGGGGAAATACGCGAATAAGCAGTGGGCATGTCTTCTCGCGGTCGATCTCCTCGACGGGTTGCTGTGGGCCTGGGCCACCAACGCCGGCTGCTGCGCCTCGAGGTCCATAGCCACCAGGCCCACCGCGTGGGCCATCACCGGCGCCACCACGAAAGTCGCCGCCCCGGCGTCCGTCGCGCCAATCTTGTGGAACGCCCCGATGATACATGGCTGCCATTCAGCTTTGACTAAGTGTTGTAATGAAGTTGCTTAGGATTTTAGGTTGCCAATACAACGGTCCTTCAACGCTATGCAAAATCCAGAGTTCCAGACGCAAAACAACAAAGAGCGTACTCGGCAGCGACGAATTAAGCGGGTAAGCGGGTACTTGTATTGATCCTTAGGAAAAAGCAGGCAAGAAGAAAATTTAAGTAGCGGAGAGGAGCTTCTAGGTTGACATGCACTCAGGTGACAGAGGGCGTCGGAACTAGATCAGCGGTTGCTAACACATTGAACAATAATATGCATCTGATTCAGAGAACAACACATTGAAGCTCACAGTACACAGGGGCATGCCAATGGTTCTGGAGCTGGGTTTCGCACTCTGCCAAGGCGGCACCCAGTTGCGTTTATGGATAGGAAGGGGTGGTTCCCAAGGAAACACGCCGTGTACGTTGCTGTTGCAATCTATGTAACTCAACAATGAGGGGCCATCCCATGTTATCGGTAGATTTGTTGCTGAATGAACAAATGGAGTTTCAGCTCACAGTAAGCTAAACACCCATCAAACATCTGGTTATGCAGATGGGCATGCACCCAGAATCTCTGGGGCACTTGTTTACCGGAACGTCCTGCCTGCTGCCATCTTGCTGTTGCCGGTGTACTCGTGACACCAGCTTCCTTGCCAAATTTTTGGCACGTGCCACGGAGCTCTTTAGGGATGGAGTGTGCGGGCTAGAGTTATTCGGATGTGCTGCGTACGATGGGAATCGCGAGGGTTTGGTACGAAGTATGAAAGACGCAAGGCGGTGCTGCCTATCGGGCTTCAGGCGAATGCTCGGGCGGATATGGCCTCTCTGTAGCTAATTGTCACTCGGCTCCATCTGACAGTATCATGGAGAGCGATGTTTGGTGCGTTAAAACCTTCCAGAGTCCCATGGACCGCCGGCCCCCGGTCCTATCTAGCTGGTTTGCAGGTACGGGGTTTCGACCCAATCGTGTAACATAATATGTATTTCCCTCCTTCCTATCCACGCTAATTTCTCAACATAGTTTACAATTGGCTCGTTTACAACCCAGGAACTTGGGCAATGCAGATCGAGACAGCTCAAATCGTTGAAGGTCAAGGTCTGCAGGGTAGAGCTTACCTGGGGAATATAACTACTATTAACATAAGCTTCTACTAAGGCAAGTAACTAATCTGCGAAGTCCAAAAGCAGCCGACAAGTCGCGCCGCTTCAGAAAGTGACTCTGACCAAAAAGCCGCAATTTCAAAATATGTTCTAATCACAAGCGAACATCAACAAAGGCAAAGACTGCCATCTTTGCATGCAGACCGTGCACATACGTCGCTTACCTAGTAAGTCATGGATCTGGAAGCGGCACAGGCGACTGTGGAACGGGCCTGCGAAGAGTTCAAGGTACGCAGGGTGAAGTCATCTCAGAGCGCGAGGTGATCAAGGAGGGCCGTTCAGAGGGACACCCTGAGGAGGCTTCAGGCGGGGTTATGAGTCTGGTGTCTGGCGGGATCTGCCTAAGCTGGATCCCCCATAAGACCCCCCATGCCCCTTTCAAGGAGTCATCAGCGCCATGCCCCTTCAAAAATGCCTCGCTGGCACCCACCCTGCTTAGCACTCAAGCAGTTTTGAACTTTGGACGCCGGCAGTTCATTCCTTGTTTCCTTGCATATGATTCCCGCTTCCTACCGGCGCATCCGGCGTCCCTACCTAACCCCCTGTAATACGTGCCCGCCTCCTCCAACCGCGCACCGCACGCAGGTCCCTGCCACCGCCGCCGCGGCCTCCGCCGTCCTGCTGCAGTTCCGTTCCTCCCCCGGAGTGCTGCAGGCATGTCGCCACATCCTGGACAGGTCCCACTCGCTGGATGCCAGGTGCGGGGTCGGAGGGGGTCGGGGTCGGAACGGGGTTCGACACGGAGACGGAGGCGAATACAGAGACCAGACGGGGAGAAGGCAGCAGAAGTGGGTATGGAGATCAGGAGATAAGAAAGGGGGGTGGGGTTGGTGGGGCCTGGGGGCCTTACATGGAGGCCAACGCGTCATCGTCGTCGGCTGGACGTCAAGCACATCCACACGGATACTGCTGGGGGGCAGCGGGACTTGGACCCGGAGCCCAGCAGGCCTAAGCGGGGTGCTATGGGGAGGGTTTTGCGTGTGAGTCTGCCGGGTGCCAGTTCGCCGGCCCGCTCTGATTTCCTACACTCTGCAGCCCGTCTTGGAACCAGCAGCCTTTCGCCGCCTTTCGTTGTTGCCTGCACGCACTGCAGATTTCATGCGGCTGCGGCGCTGCGTGAAGCGGTGGTGCGGGAATGGGTGGCGCTCGGTGCGGGTGGTCGTACGGCACTTCAATCGTACCTTTTGTCGTACCTGGTGGCGCATGCTGAGGAGCCAGCCATGCAGGTATGTGTGCGTGGAGTTGGTGTGTGTGTGTGTGTGTGTGTGAGGCGCGCGGGCCCCGAGCAGCAATGGCAGGGATCGACGACGAAGAGAATCCCTCGGAGCGGTGGTGATGTGTGCACGGCACCGCTATGTGGTGGCTGGTGGGTGATCAGGTCACCCCCAGGGATGGTGTACACATTACACACGGGGCCAGCGGGGAGACTGTTGAGCTTGGGGGCGATGAGGCTGATGGGATCGAGCTTCCTTCCCACGCTCGCCCCGGGGCGCCCGGTCCTCCTCCGTTCCGTTAGGTGGTCCGCTCGTCGCTCGTTTCGGCACTGGCAGTGCTTCTGAAGCGCGGCTGGCTAGGGGTGGAGGATGCACAGGCGAGGATGCACCACCACCGGGCTACCTTCTTCAGGGTGAGTGTGGGGCGGCTAGGTGGCTAGGGGTTGGGAACCCTACCCAGGAGACGGAGGATAGGTGGGTGGGCGGGGTTGTGATGGGATGGGTTGGTGTTGATGTGGGTACAGTGAGGGGCATGTGGCTGCTGGCGAGGGAGTGGGAGTGGGGGCGGAGAGCGGCAGGGGGTTGGTTTCGGAGCCTATGGGACTTTCCAGGCTAGTGGCTTGGCAGCCGTCTGGACACCTAGCGAGGGTGCCTTCAGCCCTCATCGCCCTCATGACGAAGCCATGTGGGCGCCTTTCTAAGGTAGTTATTGTAGTTGGATTTCCGCACGTGTGGTGTCTCCGATCTCCCCGACCAGCTGTCTCCCCTCTCCTTTCCTGTCTGACTTTGTTTTCAGGAGCTGGAAGTGGCCACCTCCTCGCCCAGCTCCTCCCACAGCCCTGCAGCGGTGGCAGCTGCCCGCCGAGTGGGGGTGCAGGTGCTGGAGGTAGGAGACTGGGCTGGTGGGGAAAGGGATGAGGGCTGGATAGGGGGCACCATGCGGACGTTCTGACATTGCGTTCCCGGCCTGGTGCGCGTTCGTGCAGGTCACCAAGCGTGCTGAGTTCTAGTTGTAATACATGTGTGCGATTTAAATTTAAAATGCCATACTGATCGGTGTCACCTGTCATGTGTTCTGAACTGAACTGAGCCGCGAGGAAGGAAGTGCTGATGACGACACCGACCGTCTTTTATGTATGTATGTATGTGTACTTGTACGTATGTTTGTATACGTGTGTGTCTCGAAACTCCCGCTCGCCAGGCGGTGGTGGGGGAGTTCGCGCTGTCCACCGCGTCCCCTCTTGGCCTTCCCCTGGAGCACCATGCCAAGTGCGCCATGGACCTTCAAGTGAGCACTGGGGGGGAAGAGGGGAATAGGAGTAAGAAGAGGGTTGTGTGTTTTGGTTAGCCTGGAGAGGAAGGCAGGGCTGGGGGGAAGCCGGGACTGCGAACTGGTGCAGAGCTGTGAGAGGGAATGAGAGGGAGTGGGGGAGGTCCAGTTCATGTACCAGTTGACGGCTCTGGGTGTTTTTAGGCGGGGAGTGGGAAGGGTTGATCAAGATTAGAGTCCCCATGGCTGAGGAATTCGCTGCTTGGCGGAGCCTGCAGACAGATAGACAAACAGATATACAGACAGACAGACAGACAGATAGGCAGCCATGATCTTGAAGGCGTTTACCCACCTGCCGCAACCGTCCAAACCAACATCGTTACCGTTTCTCCTCACTCTCCCGCCGCCCCGGCCCCCCCCCCGCACCCTGTCCTCAGGACCACTTCCTGCAGGACATCTTTCGCCACGCCGTCGCCCTGGGGCGCGCGGCAGCTGCCGCCCAGGACGGCGCCACCTGCGCCGCCTGCCTGTCCCTCATGACTGCCGTCCTGGCCTGGGATTTCCGCCGCTCACCCGCGTCCGTGTCCTTTTCGATGGCGCCACATCCCATGCTTGCCGCCAGGGCAGCCGCCGCAGCCGCCGCCAACGGCGGCGGCACCTCCGG